TGCAACCAAGTGGAGTTACCCACGATGGAAACAGAGTAAAACCATGGTCGACATGGACTACAAAGACAGTAATTTCATACGCGTCACACCCCTGTCATCTATAGCATCTGTCAAACAAGTGATAAGGACGCCAAAGCTTCACACCACAAGCTTCTGGTCTCGGCCTCCTTTCAGCGGCAGATAAGATGGGCCCTACCATAAGAACAGCTTCAAGACTCCAACCATCCAAGCAGTATCGACAACTGCGAGCACAAAGTAGCCCTGGCAAACTATACTATCCGTATCAACAACACTACACGGCCGCCGCCTGCAAAACAAATACTGAATACTTCCTAGAAAACAATTAAAGACGCCGAAGACTCCATTTGCAATGAGTCAAACTGCACGCATGGATATGATATTCGCCGTGAAAGCCTTATGTTAGAGCGTCCTCTTCTTCCCAAAATAAAACTAGTGCCATGCCAAATCATTCTGCCGACTATTCACCACCAGGATATGGCAGTGGCTCTATAACCACAGATGGGCAAGATATAGTTGAGTGTAAGGCACTACCACCATGCCCTGCTCAATTAAGCGTCACTGAGAGAACGCTGAGCTTATCTAAAGATTTCAAAAGATCTACACAATAATACTTCTACCTTGACATCCTTTCCACAACGCCAGGTCTAATCTCAGCTTACCGCAGGTATTCAGGGGAATTAGATCTTTATCCCATCAGACTGCAGCGATGATCATCGAGTCCTCATACTGCGTAAATAAACCAGACGAGGAGATAAATATTAATGAGTATACAAACTTCCAATGTGATCGCAGCTGCAAGGAGGAAGGAGCTAACTCAACGCATTCGAGCCAGAGGGTGCGGTTTTAGGCAAGATACGTGAGTATGCGCAAGAGCATTACAGTACTAGTCAGATGCTTTTATAGAGGACCTATTGCTTTTTATAACCAGGAGATCCAATTAAAAACAGCTCTACGACATGCATTATCCCTTCCATATGGTCGCAGGATCACATGCAGTGACTTTAACTTACCTGAAATTAAGTGCGACTTGCTTAATGGCGCAGCTACGTATGATACTTTTTTAGTATGCTGGTTACTTTTTGGATGGAAACAAACTATTACTACTCATACAAGAGGTGGTAATGTGTTCGATCCGATATTGATGTATGTAGGTTCCAACTTTGCGGGAAGTAATCGCGAAACCGTGTGGTATGCACTGCCAGTTCCTTTAACTAGCACATCAGTTGATTCTTCCATTCCACGAGAAATGACGCTGGGAGATAACGACAAGGGAGACTGGAATCATATGTGCCCGCTGACTAGGTGTATTGAATGTGGACTACACTACACCGATCCTGACCTCAGATCAGAACTGACTATATTTTCCGACAACTCCAATACCCGTTTCAATATGATGGTCCTGTTGAAAACCTCCAGAAAACGACTGGCCGAGAAGCTATTCATACCTCCTAATACTCTCAGAAAGTTACGCCAAGTTCTGGCACCATGGCTTCGATACACGTTGGTCGATTCTCAGTGCTCCCAAACCTATCTCGTGGCATGGTGAAATATGTGTAAAGACAAGAAATTAATAGGCTACCTGGCCCGTCTAGAGTATACGCTCTCTCCCCACCGTCCCTATTGAAAGATCAAACCACATAAAACATGGCATTCCGCCTCTTATTGATGACAGCAAGCTTTACAATAATCGGATAGACATGTGTGTAGCATTCAGTGACATATTTGCAGCTAGTCATTCAGAATCCGCAGCCTTTTCCTGCGATACGGTAAGCACAATAAAAAACAATTCTTTCCTCGCGCGGACACCAAATGCCACTATCGAATTCATATTTGTCAACAGTAACCCAGCTACTGAAAAGTTGGAATGTTCCAGCAGTGCTGGCACAGACGGGATATCATCCTACCTTCTTAAACATGGCAGCTGCGATATTCCATTATTATTACCAAAGATGGTCCCTGTCTTATGGATCATCCACATGTTCTGATATCCGGAAGACACTGTTTGTCCTTTCGAGACAAATCAGGTTCAAAAACACCGGTCAGCTAATATGGGCCTGTAAATATTATGTCCAAAGAGCCTAAGATTACGCCCAGTCACAATATTGTCACGTCCAGTCGGCACTGATTCCTGAGAGCGAGATCTTGCGTAACCTGTCGTCTTAACTTCCCCAACTTCATAACTGCTACTCATGACCGGCGACAATCAGGTCCTACACTCTAGATATTTCTAAGGCTTTTGACTTTTACTTCTATTAGGTTGAAGTTTCTCGGAATTGACTACACATAATTAAGACGGATCAGGTCTCTCCTCAGTAACTACACCTAAGTGGAAAAAGGACACCCAAACACTTCAAACCCCGTGCCAATCCTCTCTTGCATAGTCCAGGCAGTGTAACAGGTCCTCTTCTGTTTACCCCATCCGTCGATGAATTTTGCAACTGCTTCACACACGGCGAGGCATCTTTGTTTACTGACGACTTTAAAGTTACGTGCACATTCATTTCTCTCGGTCAATCCCAGTTCCAAGCACTGGTGCAAAGAGACCTTGACATGACATCCAGGTGGGCCACTGTGTGAAAACTTCAGTTTAATTCAAGCAAGTGTGACTTGATATGCTTTGGTGCCCTCTCGGTAGACATTCATCCCCAACTTCAGTCCGTGAAACTAATTGCTTTTGAAAGCGTCCGTAACCTCGGGCCAAGGTACTCACGTCTTCTGAACAGATCGCATCACACAATCTCAAGCCAAGAATCCCATCGGGATGTATAAATTACGACTTCTACTTCGAAGACGCCAAGTTACTGTTCCATAAAACCCACGTAAGACTGCCGTTAGAATACCACCTGTTTACACTGGGTGGTGCCGGCATGAATGAAAAGCTAAAAATGGAGGGTTTGCAAGGGTGTTTAAATTGGATACGACTGCAAACAGGACTGCAAGTCCAAACGCATGACTAAATCTAGGACCACTTTTAACTATATGACCTGTAAGTAGTCCTACGCCTTTTTGTTCACTGTCCTTTACAAATTAACCTCCACAGTTAGAGCAGAACGGTTCTTGTTGCCCTCTCAGATAAGCTTACGGTGTCACAGTAAAGTGTTTTGAGTCATCTCTTTCCTTCGCCAGAAAGTTCTTCTGGATTTGCGACGGACTTTATGCTAAAGTGTAGGCCTCAAAATCAATCCCTAAGTTCGGTAATACGCTGATTACACCGCTATCGTGTCGGCCTCTCCAACTTATCGGGCGCACCACCTGCATCCTATATGGCACTCTACATATTGGGCACAATTGGTGTCTGGTAGACTACGAGCACACCTGAATTAAACCTTCTTCCAGAACGCTGTAGAAACTTTATAGGTGTGCGAACCAAGTTGGGGGTCGGTGGTTCGAAAGCTCCTAACTACTGCGCACTCCGTAATCAACTCCACGAACTCCTTTCCATTCAACATAGCAAACGGAGATGCAAGTCTTAAAATACATAAAAGCATGTAAGACACATCCTCGAGTTTTCGGTGGGTAAAGCACGTGAGATCAGCAGCCACTATCACGCATACAAATTAGAGGAACCCCTTGGTTAGCCCGTCTCGTCTACCCTCAGCATGCTCCTCTGTCTTTCCTTCTCACTGTAGCCAAATGCTTCAGCTCCAGAAGTCGGACCGATGATAAGCGGAATTAAATTCCTAAAGCTACAAACCAGTTCTGGGCGTTATAAGCCATTGGTCAAACTGTGTTATTTCACCCACAACGGGAAGCTACAATGCTTAAAAACTATGAATGTCCAAATCACCATGTAATTGGGTGATCGTAAAGGTCACCTTCTGTATCAAACTTGAATATTAACCCCAAAACATAGTGTCACATCCATACTATTGAAGAGGACCCTCCTAGCAAGATCGAGGAACAGTAAAAAATATTTATTCCTTTTGTTACTTAATATGATATACTTCTCCAGGATAACAGGTAAAATACACCTCTTTGGACGAATCATAGTAACTAGGCGCACAAGTTTTCCCAAACCATCCACTCCTTTTCTGGTCAGGATATGTTAAAACTGCAACTGATCTTGAAGTGCTGCTAAGTATAATTCACACGAATTTCTATTCTTGTTTTGATCCAGCCATCCTTCCAAAAAAAATGAAGAAGCATGTATTCATCCAGCCTCATACTGCCAAGAGTCCTTGTAGACGTCTAAACCAAGTCTCCACAAAATAATAATACTTTTGATTCACACTGATCATTTTATGTGTTGCCAGCTCCGTTCTTCATATTCTGGAAATCCCGACCTCTCTCTTTTAGAATAGTTCACCACAGCGGATGCCAGCAGAAAATTTGTGCTCCACGGTGATGTCATGTAAACCCAGAAATCAACTTGTATAAAGCTGCTGTAACCAACAGATGTTAAGATGTTTTCGTCTGACATGTAGATAGGTACGTTGTTACAGGGGCGCGTAGAGTAGTATGAGGTTGATGATGACCACGGGAATCCGGAAGGAAAAGAGGAAAAGAAAAAAAGGTGAGCTGACGTCTCAATAAGTACACAGGGTGTACTTACACATAATAACCACAGACAAACTGACGACATAGAGGTGAGGCAGCCTACAGTTCGAATCTGAACCGTGAATGAGTAAGATTTCTAATGCTTTTCATTGCAAACACATGGAACCCTCTTCTAGGTCACATACTGTCTACACCTCATACCAGACTTTTTGCAGCCAGATTGAATCTTCACAGAACTACCCTTACAAAGCTTCATTGCTGATCAGCGCCTTACTACCCCCATTGTCGAGGGCTGAAAATCACTCTGCTATCCATACAGTCTTACTTTTCTTCAAGGAGTTGCTTTGTTTTAGTTGCCTCCCTCGGAATTGGCGCCCTTGACAAACTAGCTGCTTGTAAGGTATGTTTTATACTTTTACTAGGCCTCGTCATGCTTCAGAGTGTTATAAATAATAAATAGTATTGCGTTGTACGACTGTCTCATGGAGACATACTCTCAGCTCAATCGCGCACAGCTCAGCTTCGATTATCTCCATACCAACTCGTAATATTGGTTTAAAGTACTTACAGTTTTAATTTAGAACAACTCATGAGTTTCTTTTTGGTGCCATCGCGGAACTCATCGATAATGCACGTGATGCTGGTGCGACCGAACTTGACATTTATACAAGTTAGATCTTAGTTTGATATACCATGTCTGTAGTTAAAGATAATTCTGTTCGTGGGAATTTCCTCCTTTGTTTGGCAGACAATGGCTGCGGGATGACACCAGGTTAGTCCAACGCTGTAGTTCTTTATGTCAAGATGATGTTAAAAACGTTATAATTTTCGGGAAGTCGTTGAAGAAATGTGAAGACACTGCCGCTATAGGTATGTACGGAAATGGCTTGAAATCGTAGGTTACGTATTGGTTATCTACTGTTTTTAAAGTGGCTCTATGCGGATCGGGAATGATTTGGTGCTGTTCACGAAAAAAGACGGTATATTCACCTGTCTTTTCTTGTCAAGAACTTTCCACGAAGAAGAGAAGCTTGATGAGGTCTTTCTTAAATTTTTCTAATGCCTGTTTTTCGTACAGGTGGTTGTTCCTATGCCTTCTTTTAAAGGTCCCGAGAAAACACCTGTTGCAGACACTCCTGAAGACAAGAAAAAAGTAAGTTCGTGTTACTTTTGACAGTTTTGTAGCATGATCTCGAGATGCATTTAATCTTGAAGTACTCTCCGTTCCGCTGCCTGAAAGATTTCTATGCACAGTTCGATAAACTTAAAGAAAATTCTGGGACCGTGGTGATTATCTACAACATGAAGCTTCTTGATCATGGGGGACCTGAGTTAGACGTCACCACAAACCCACGGGATATACTACTTAGCCCCGGTTCAGAGCAAGAGGAAACAGTAGAACCAGATGCTGAAGTTATGTAAGTAAAATTATTTACTACGTACTTTGCCAATCATATCTTAAGATTCGATTGCTGAACAATTTACTGTCAAATACCACTTAGGCTACTGTACATCTTGTGATCACTCGTTAAATTCTGTTCGAAAGTCGAAGTAGTACATGAAGTCTTCAATTGACTGTTTGGACCATTAAGATTATAACAAACTTCGACATAAAATCTTGCACAGAATAGCAATAGTTCATATTGCTATACTTAAATTCATACATTGAAGCATAAAACTGAGATGGACAAGTCTCATTGCTAGCTATGGTTTTCTCTGTTGGTGGAGATGTTTAGTCGTCAAGTTTGACTGGTCGAAGTGTGATGTACTGATGTAGGGGTTGGACTTGGTTCTATCTGGTTGAGGTAAGTTAGCTAGTAAGGTTTTATGCTTCCATTGACTCGGGTGAAACGTGTTACGTAGGTCTGTTCACAATGTACCCCAGTGCGTAACGTTGGTTTAAATGGGTTTAGGATGGAAGTAGGTTAAAGATGACCAAACTGGAACTTAGCATCAATTCATGAAGCCTGACTGTTGAACTGAGGCGTTTAGAGAGATGTAGACTTCCTAGCCAGGGTCGACGTGACAACTGAAGTCGGCAGTTAGAGACTAGGTGATGCGGAACCTTGCATAAAAGTACACTGGTTCAAGTTGCCTCATTTCATAGTAGTATACAAAGAACAAGTTGTGTAACAGACCATTTGGAGATAACGGGTTAGGCGAATATTCAAGCTTTAGAAGACATCAAAAATGACTACATCTACGACACCGTGACCGATTTTTAGTCATGTAACCAAGAGTCATCAACCACTGACTCCGGTCGTCTCACGGACTCCTGAGAGGTATTCAACATCTCTCAACACGGTTCAGGCTAAGCGTTAGGGACCTCATCGACTGATGCCGTGTGTTGCCCGGAAATCAACCATCTTCCCACCTAATCCAACTTTCCGTAACATTGCATGTCGAGGTAGGCGATGAATCGGCGTGTGCAGCACATGTCCAAGCCACCTCAGTCGACTAAGGTTCACAACCTCATCAATCAACTTGCCCATTTTGCTTAGTACCCTTCGCATGACCTCAAGATTGCTCATATGCTGAGTTCACATAACGTGAGCAATCTTACAAAGACGTGTGATCAAAAACCCTGTGACCGCTTCATGTCTTCCACTACTAACGACTGTGTCTCATAGCCATTTGAGAGGACTGCAGTGCAGTATACTCGTCCTTTGATAGTCGAATATCTTGCCATTTGACGCCAAATGTAACGCAAGTTGGCAAATGCCAAACGGTCCTTCTCAATCTGAGCTGAGGTTTTGACAACCACCAACCTATTCGGACTGATGCAACTTTCCAAGTGAGTGAAGTTGTCGACATATTCCACCACTTCACCACCTGTCGTCAAACTGGGGTTACTTTCAACAGACCACTCCTAGAGCTATCATCTTACATTTGACTGGTGCCAGCAAAACGCATACCAAATACTCAGATTTCTGCTCAGTGCGTTCAGAAGACCCTGAATTCTGTTGGCGTCTTCGCCTAGTAGGACAATATCGTCGGCATACTCCAAATCAACCAATGACCTCCAAGAGGTAGATCAATCCCTGTGATATCAGACTTATCCAACGTTATGTCCATCAGTACGTCTTTGATGAAGACCAATAGGAATGGTAAGTGATCATCCCTACCGCACACCACTTGTTGTCGTCAATTCTAACAACAACTAATAAACCTTTATACGACTGTCTGAGTTCGTGTAGACAGCTTTGATAAGCTTTATATACCTGCTCAGCTCTCCCTTCATAGTCAGACACTGCCACAACACTTTATGGTCGATAGAGTCAAATGCCGCCTTCAGGTCAACAAATATGGCGTGTCGGTCGACGGTGCTCCAGAAGCTGTTGGAGGATGAAAATGAGACCGATCCACCCTTCATTCAGGGAGCCGAAGCGTTGCTGTGAGCCGGTTGTACTGTGCTTCAAAGTGTTCTTCCTGCCCAACGTTCTAGCCGTCTGTTCTGGGAGGTTATCAGCGTCGCATCCTTCTCGGTGTTAGTTTAACTAGTCTTCGTGAACTTTTTGCTGGTATCCTTAATAAGCCTAAATAGTTTCCAGGTTTTACCTAGTGCTGATGTCTTTCTCTTTCGCCACCCACCACTGCTCATGGTCTTTACGGAAACTCTTGGTCGATTTACGTCTAAGTTTTACTTTCCCCCCCTTGATCAAAGTCAACTAAAATCCATCTTCTCACATGAATCATTTTGGATGATGCTGCGAAATCCAATGACGTTTGGTAACTTTTGGATGTAGGTTACCATTGTTCCTACTGCAGACCTAATACTACTCCAAGTTTCCTTGGGATGAGGATTGCTGTCATATTCGGGTAAATAGTTAGCTATCTCTCCTAAATGCGTACTTGGCGTTCTCACCTTCCAATCAACCATAGACACGCCTTACTATCACTTGTTTCCTGTGACCAGTGAAGTGCAGACATACACGAGCCCGTACTACAGCGTGATGAGACTAGGTGATACTAGTAATGCAGATGCATCCACACTTAGTCTTCAGTCAGTTGCAGTACTACTGTGCAACGATTTATGTTGTCACAAATTATATCAGCACATCAAGGTAGAAGGAACCGAAACGAGAGAGAAATTGAGAGGAAAGTAATCAACGCGGTAGAAGAACATGAAAGAGTAAAATTATTTATTGTTTGACTACAAACATAGTACAGCAAGACCACCAAGAAATGTGCCACAAAAAATGGCATAACAAAATTGTGAACACAGGAAGTGGATAAGTAAAAAGGAAAAACAAAAAGAACAGCAGGATTAGAAGGGCAGTTCAGTAAGATACATTCAAAACAAAGCATTCATTACTTAACAACAGAAGATAGGAAGCTATAGCGTGATTGTCATTGGTTTCGATTCTGACCCATGTTTGATAACGTCTCAAACCACTGAGTTGCGCAGTCTCTCAGATCCCACTCAGGGTTGTGACGCACCAACAGATGCTAACCCGATACAATTACCCTTCATCACACCCCACCACGTTTTACACTGACTACCCCTCTGCTTCTTCCATCCAGTCCCAGGGCTAGAAAACAATGAACGGTGTGGGAGCCGCTGGGACGACATGCGTAACATATCCAAACCACCAAAGCCTTCACTTATTGAATGACAATCTCCATCATGCTCAAACACACGATGTCGTACCTCAGGATTACTTATATGGTGTTGCCACCGAATACGAGCAGTCATAAGAAGACAACGATGATCGAACACAGAGTTGCCACACATCCTCAACTCAGAGAGGCCAGGTTTCACAGACGTAGAGCAGAACTGGTAGCACGGAAGCGTTGCAAATCCGACCTTTTACGGTCAGACTAACGCCGCGACATTGCCGTATGCCGCTCTGACTTTTGATATATGGTTAAAAAATTCATCACACTTCCACCAGCACTCACACAACTGCTCAGATACACGAACTTCTTCGCTGCTTCCAACGGCTCACTACCAGGAGTGAGCGCTTGCACAGGCTCCTATCAATCTTGAAAAGTTACTTTGCTTTAACCTACATACCGTACTTGCACTAATCGCCAACTGATTAAGTGCTATCTGAATAGCCTACTTGTTATCGCACAGTAAGATGATATCGTCCGCATATTCAAGGTCGAATAGCCGTTCTATGAGTAGTGGATATACATTACTATCCCACATCTTCAAAGCTGTCTCAAGAATGTCATCAATGGTATAGTTAAAGAGGAATAGAGAAACCGAGCAACCCTCCCTAACCCCACTGCTGGTTTTCAAACATGATTTTATGCCGTCATTCTACCTGAGGTGCTATTATATAGGTATTTCAAGACGTTAATAACTTCCTCAGGCACGTCCGTCACTGACAGATAATTCCAGAGTACAGAATCGAAGACAGTCCTAATGTCAAGAAACAGCGATTGCTGGCCTGTAATACGCGTGGCAGTGTTCAAGCATCTGGCAGAGGATAAACATGTGATAAATGCATCCAATACCTGAACGAATCCCGACCTCGCGAATCATTTCCTCACGTGTTTCGCAAGGTCTTATAAGTATAATAGCAGCCCATATTTTAGACGCGACTGGTAACAGACTAATACCCTGACGATTGTCACATATTACGTAGACCTTTGTTACGGATAGACACAACAATAGCTTCGTTCCAGAGTGGTGAAACACTGAGTCTGCTATACCTTGTCAAACAATCTAATCAGTTCCCTGACTAGAGTCGTTCCTCTATTCTTAAAAAGAGTCGGGGTTAAGTTGTCTGGGTTGGGTGCATTGTGGCGTTCCATAACTCGGACCTCCACTTCGTCAAGTGGGTCAGTGTTAACTTACTGTAAAGCACAATACACTGAAGCTGACAATGCTGGAGCCACGGACCAACTAAACTGCTTTTTGAAGTGTTCCGCCCAACGTCCCAGGAGTCTTCGAAGATTTATTATCGGCGTACCATCTACCTCACAGATCGTCCTGCTGACACCAGGCTTCTTGCTACCTGTGGCTTGTATGAGCTGGAACAACTCCCGACTATTGCCATGTGCAGCTGCTGCTTCCATCTCACTTGCACGTTCTGATCACCAAGCTTCACGATCCCTTCGTAACCGTTGTGTGATCTTTCGAGGAAGAGACTTACGGAAATTATTGTACTCGCTATCCACCGTAATGGTCCGACGGGCACCAAGAAGTTGCAGGGAGCTCACAAAGACCTAGTGTTTATCATCGAGAGGTTCTTCCAAGCCTCAAGCAGCTTCATTTGCCATTTTCATGGCGTTTTGCAAGTGCAGCCAATGCTCGTCTACACTTTCTGGAGGATTGGTAGCTAGCCTTAAATCTAGCTGAGATTGGTCTTTAGCTGTAATGTTAGGTGCAAGTAATTTGCTTGCACTGACCTGTTTAGAACGACTATTTTGATGACCACTAAAACGCAAGATGAGCTTAGCATAC